TTTGTGTGTGAATGTAGTTAGGGTTAGTTAGTCATTAAAGGTCACCGCAGGTCAATGATAGGCTGGGCTATGATTTAAAGGGAAAATTCACTTAAAAACTATATATTGGTCTTTTTTTTCAATAGTCCACTGTTGATACACTCCCAAAATGTTTAGCATTTCAGCAGTCAAGTTTTGAAGATATTGGACTAAATAAAAAATGCATCATCATGATGATGTGGCTGCTGACATGCAAAACATTTTGGGACTGTATCAACAGTGGACTATTGAAAAAAAATACCAAAAGATAGTTTTTGATTTTCACTTTAACGATATAGCCATGATCAATAGTGACGTTTAACGTAACAACACAACACAGTGAATGCAGCTGCTGGATCTTGTGATAGCATTAGTGTATACATTAGCGATCAGTCTCTCAATAGCAAACTAATTACCAGGGCTTCCTTCCTCTGTGTGTCTGCTGTCCACTGATACTGTCATCTCACTGCTCACAAATATCCGCTGACAGTCACACAAATACACACACACACACACACACACACACACACACACACACACACACACACACACACACACACACACAGAGACAGACAGACAGACACACGTAAGCAAGCAAGCAAGCATGCACACACACACGCACACGCACACGCACACACAATCACAGCCCATCATTCATGTTGTTGTTCGCCTGGAAAACATCCTGTTGACATGATTGCAAAATAACCTTCTATATTTAGGGAAGAAAACACGAAAAAGAGAGCTAAAAGCTTTTCTCTGGACCATGCCCGTGATATCTAACTAACTCAATAGTGATTCTATTAACATACATAACTGAGTTGTGTGACAGAAGGAGTCGCAGTGTTACCTGAGAGCAGTGTGATATGCAGTCTCTATCATGAAGACAATCGCTAATTCAATATTGATTACGCTGACTCACAATCCTAACTGAGTTACATGACATCACAAGTTATTTGAGGACATCGATATGAATTACATTATAAATCTCTCTTGAATGATCAATGTTCTTCCCCTGATTGCTCCTGTTTAATTTTCTGTTTTACACTTGTAGAAACCTCTAAAAACATGAATTATAATCCACATAATAATTTACATTTCCTGATGCTGCAGGATTATTTTCCTGTTGTAGCAAACTGGCCCAAATTAAGATCCTACATCTGTACTTTCATTTGTGTTGTTGACAATAACTAAGTGCAGCTACTGAAAGTAACCTTTTCATGATGTCAGGGTGTTCTTCATGTGGTCTGTGTGTCAGAAGCACAGTAGCTCGTTGCTTAACGCTGCGCCAGTAAAACTCAAATAAAATAGGATTTGCTGTTCTCTTCTCTTCTTCTCTCCCACCCTTCTTCCTTCCTCCCTCCTCCATTCCTCCCTCCCTCCCTCCATTCCTCCCTCCCTTTGTCTGTTCTGCTTATTCTCCTGCGTGTGATGGTGTGTGTGATGGTGTGTGTGATGGTGTGTGATGTGTTTTGGTGCTGCAGTGAAGACCACTAATCCTATTATTCCAGCCTGAGCTTCATTAGGACCTGAGGCAGATACACTGGCTTTGAAACCAATGAGTCTCACTCTCTCTCAGCTGTACTCACTGACATTATAACCACTGACTGCACTGTGTGTGTGTGTGTGTGTGTGTGTGTGTGTGTGTGTGTGTGTGTGTGTGTGTGTGTGTGGAGGATGGGGGGGGGGGGTGATACAGTGTGCATACATGCATGTGCCTCATACAGTGATGGAGTCATTGAGCAATTTCACTAGTCTATGAACCAATGATTTTCCTAACAGTATTATAATGTCTGTACTCAATTACACACATACCATTATATGGTCAGTTCTCAATTACACACATACCATTATATGGTCAGTACTAAATTTCACACATACCATTATATGGTCTGTACTCAATTACACACATACCATTATATGGTCAGTACTCAATTACACACATACCATTATATGGTCAGTACTCAATTTCACACATACCATTATATGGTCAGTACTCAATTACACACATACCATAATATGGTCAGTACTCAATTACGCACTTACCATTATATAGTCAGTACTCAACTACGCACATACCATTATATAGTCAGTACTCAATTATGCACATACGATTATATAGTCAGTACTCAATTACAAACATACCATTATAGTCAGTACTCAATTACACACATACCATTATATGGTCAGTACTCAATTCAATCTCCTTGATATGGCATCGGTATGCAACTCCTCTTACTGTTTGATATTAATGTCATCAGAATTGTGTGCCAGGTTTGATCAAATCTGGACCTCTATCACATGATAGTCATAGTTGTGTGAGGAAGGGGTGAAGGTAGTTCAGCCACCAGACAATATTATATTTTTCCCAACAGTTGAGTTGTATTCTTTCTTTTTCTTATTCGCTTAGCCTATTTCTGTGAGGTCCCAAGTGACTTGGCAAATACTGTACTATTCATAGTGGAAATGTTTGGAAAAGAGACGTGCCAATCTTTCTTTCTCTCTCTCTCTCTCTCAATCTATCTGAGATATATCGAGAGATAGGATACTCTCCTCTAGCGAGATCGCTCTGCTATACTATATCAGACTATCGTCTCTCTATCTCTCTCTCTATAGCCCCTTCCCTCTCTCTATCTCCCCGCCCCAAAAAAAATATGCATTTTCTATCTGATAGGAAAGGGCTAGTCAGATCCCCAAAAAAGAAGAAGGCACAACGAGGCAAGGGAAGGGAGATCAGTATCGCAAAGAGCGGCGGCTAGGAGGAGGTACATGAGCACCACGGGCCCGAGCACTAGAAGAGCGTAGTCCTCGCTCTGAGGAAGTCTATGATCGCAAAGTCAGATGAGGAAAGAGAGCGTGGGACGTGGGCCCGACAGATAACGTGCAAGTCCAGTGGGTTCCAGCACACCACAAGTCAAGATAAAAGGTGCAGCGTTCGATGCAGTAGCAAACATATACTACACTACAGACAAGCGAGATAAAGTTACGAAGCTAGAAACGAAGAAGCGAAGCAACGGAACACGGTACCTAGACGAAGATGCGGATCGGGGGGTAGCATCTGTCCGGCAATAGGGTGCAACTGACTGGGCACAAAAGGATGGCCAGGAAGGGATCGAGATAAGCGGCGGAGCAGAGCGTCTGGACACCCTGAGCAGTAACCTACGCGAGGGAGCGCAAGCAAGAGCGCTCGGCCGAAACCTACGTCTGAAGTGCTCGACGCTCTCGCCCTACCGCTAGAGGTGCTCACGCCCAAAATATGGCATTAGTATGCGCTATCGCTCGTCTGCGCTCTCTCCGCTCTCGGCGCGCTGCTCGTCTATATCATCATCTGCATCGCTGCGCCGCTCTCTCTTCTCGCGCTCGCTCTCCCTCGCTCTCCCACTCCCTCCCCAAGCTGTTAGAATCTGACAGCCACAAAAATATGAATTCTCTAGAGAGATATCGAGAGAGAGAGATTTATATAGTTGAGAGAGATCTAGTCCCAACATACCTCTAGATTATTTATCCCGCCCAAAAATAAAGCAGGCATCTACAATAATGCGCTCAAGCAATCCACGAGAAAGAGAGAGCGAGCGAGAGAAGAGAGGTTTTTTTTTATACTCTCTGCTCTGATCAGGTCGATATCTCATCTATATATCTCCAATCACTATCTCTATAATCTCGACGCCAAAAAATATTAAATTATACTCTCTCTCTAGTATCGCTCTCTCTAACGAAATATCTCGATCCTACCGCCCAAAATATGCATTGATCTCATCTCTATATCTCCGCATCTATATATTCTAGATAGAGCTATAGTCGCGATATGCGAGATCTCTCGATAATCTATACCTCTCTTCTATTCTCAGACCACAAAATATGCATTAATATCTTCTCTCTCTCTCCTAAGCTCTAGATCTCGTCTCATCTCTGAGAGAAAGCGAGAGGAGAATGGGCAAAATACTCTTCTATACTATATATCTCGATACTACTCTCTTCTATCGCATCTCTCGCTCCTCTCTCTCTCTCTCTCTCCCTCCCTCTCTCTATCTCCCGCCCAAAAACATATGGCAGAGAGAGGGACGAGAGAGAGATGCGATTGAGGGGCGGAGAGACGAGAGCGAGAGAGTGAGAGAGAGATAGAGAGAGCAGCGAGATCTACCTCCCTCTCTACTTTTATATCCCGCCAAAAAAGATGCATGTATCTCTGTCTATCTCCTCGCTATCTCTCTCTCTGCTCTTACCTCCCCCTCTATCTACGTCATCCAGCAAAAAAGAGGAATTCTCGCATCGTCGCGCGCGGTCGCTCCGCGTGCGCAACGAGACGCGAAAAGAAGCCAAAATAGGCATGGCGATGCGCAGCCGCGACGCGCGCGCTGCGACGGGCGCGCGCGGCGCGCGCCGATGCCGCGGCGCGGGCGCGCGCGCACAGCCAGCGCGAGAGAACGCCCGCCCAGAAAGAGGAAAAGGCGAGAGGACGTCTCGAAGCAGCCGCGCATTGAGAGAGAGAGAGGGCTCCGCTCGCGCGAGAGATCGCTCTCAGAGCGGCCCTCGCATGTATCTATAGCCCGCCCAAGAAAGAGGCATTGCTCGACCAACTGATGAGACACACGCTAAGACCAGAAGACAGCTCGAGAAGCCGAGGGCGCTATATATATCTCGATATCTAGCTAGCATTCGCTTCTACTCTGCTTCCACACTAACTCAAATTATATGAGATAGCACCGCCACCCCAAAAATGTTGGGGGGGGGGGGGAATTAGGATAAAGGTAATCGGAGAGAGAGAGACGCAGAGAGGAGTAGGAGGGAGAGAGAGAGAGAGAGAGAAGAGGAGCAGAAGACGAGAGAGAGAAGCGTAGAGAGACAAAGAGAAAGATCAAGAGAGGAGAGAGGCGAAGAAGAGTAAAAAGAGGCATACTCTTCGAAAGGGAAAGATAAGAGAGAGAGGGGAAGAGAGAGGAGAGAGAAAGAAAGGAGAGAGGGGGAGATGACAAGAAAAAAGAGGAATGGGAGAGAGAAGAGAGAAAGAAAGAGTAGAGAGGTGGGGAGCAGGGAACAAAGAGCGGCAGTAAGATCAGAGACCGAGATAGAGAAATCTCCTATCTCTCTCTCTATATGACACTATCTTTCTCTCGCTCTCTCTCTCTCTCTCTCTTCTCTCTCTCTTCTCTAACCTCCTGCCCAGAATGTGCTCATCATTGTGCGATAGATAGATCGAGGATTCTGAGATTCATGTCCTAACCTGATCATCTCTCTCTCTCTGTCTCTACAGGTCCTTGCAGATGCATGTGTGGCACCTACCGGATCACCTACCAAGCCGGTGTGTACACACTGTGTGTGTGTGTGTGTTGTGTGTATCCTAACATTTGTGCTAAACTGACCATAGATCAGTGTCTGAGGTCTAACTTCACCCTATCCCTTTTTTTTTTTTTTTTGGTACAGACAGATACTCACATGGCCTCTCACTGCAGCCTGTCTGCCTGTCTTTCTCTGTCTGTATGTTAGTACCTGTCTGCCTCTGTCTGTCTGTATGTTGGTACCTGTCTGCCTGTCTCTCTCTGTCTGTATGTTAGTACCTGTCTGCCTCTGTCTGTCTGTATGTTGGTACCTGTCTGTCTGTCTCTGTCTGTCTCTGTCTGTCTGTAAGTTAGTACCTGTGTCATTCACTGACCGGAAAATAGCCATTCCCGAATACTGTAATCATTCAAACTGCCGTTTAAAGATGGGCAAGATATTGGGCCTTTTCAGTTACTTAAGCTGTTTATGGCCTTTCTAACTTGGCTGGCTCTGGTCTTTAAGGTCATTCAGGGCCAAGAGTTCCATAATGATATGCTGTCTTTATGGAAGGCGTGTATATTAAATATGGATGATTAGATCTGTCTATTGGCTAGTGGTTAAGATGACCATCATTTGAGTGTTTGGTTAGGGGGGTAATCTCTCCACATACGGAGTGGTTGGTTAGGGGGGTAATCTCTCCGCAAGGCCCATACAGAGTGGTTGGTTAGGGGGGTCATGTCTCCGCAGGGCCCCATACAGAGTGGTTGGTTAGGGGGGTCATCTCTCCGCAGGGCCTATACAGAGTGGTTGGTTAGGGGGGGTCATCTCTCCGTAGGGCCCCATACAAAGTGGTTGGTTAGGGGGTTAATCTCTCCGCAGGGCCCCATACAGAGTGGTTGGTTAGCGGGGTCATCTCTACACAGGGCCACATACAGAGTGGTTTCTCAGTATGTGTGTTATTCTTCTGAAAGCCTATAATAATGGAAAGACAAATACATGGAAGATCCTCATCCGTAGTTCAAATTGTGTGTGTTATGAATGGATGACGTATGAAGGTATACCAAACAGAGTTGTGAGGTTCTCCTCACTCACGTCTATGTGACGTCCTGGGATTGTGATGAGAATACTCACTCACAGGGTCAGAAGATCATGTTCAACTCTGATGTTTTTCATCTATTCTAGGGGCTATGTCCGTATAGTCTTGAAATGTCTTGAATGGCTTCCTTCCTTCCCTCTGTCCTTCCTTCCTTCCCTCCTTTAGCCGTCCACTGATCCTCCTTGGGTGAGATGAGAGAAATAAAAAGCGGTGTAATGCTACTTTTTGTCCTCTAGAAGGTGCTCTAGTCCACAGCACCTTGTCTTGCGTCGGGGAGGCAAAAAATAGTGTGGTGCTTTGACTTCATGACAAACCGTTTCTGCATTAAGCCACTATGAGTGCCATGGTGAGGGGGTCGATTCCATTTCAGTTCAGGAAGTAAACTGAAATGTAAAAATTCTAATTCCATTTTCGTCTCCTAGAGAAGCATTGAGGGAAATTGGAATTAGAACTGGATTTTTCTGTTTACTTTCTGAATTGACTGACTTGAAAAGGAATTGGCCCCAACCCCTGGTCACGACCGAATTTTCTTCTAATCCAAACAGTCCACATCCAAACATTTGTGCTGATTCCCTGTGGACTGTGTCTGTTTTGACTCCCATGGCTTTAAAACAGTGCTACTGATGTTTATTTTGAGCGTTCCTCTGCATTTTTTTTTTTTTTTTTCCCTCCCATGCATTCTTAGCACGGTAGCATGCTTTCCCTAAAGATACTTTTGTAGCTATGAGAGTGGGACACCATAAGACATGATACAAATGTAAACACTCAATAAACCTGTTCATTTCAATGGTTTGGAGTGGGCTTTTATATTTTCACCATCATGTCCTGATGCCCACTCCTATGAGGAGCATGTTAGGCTGATGGAGAGTTAACTGCTATCTATCTCCCTGTTTAAATATTGACTTACACACACTGATGCTTCTACACATACACACATACACACATACATACACACACACACACACACACACACACACCACACACACACACACACACACACACACACACCACAACACACACACACACTGTTTACTGATGCTTCTACACACACACTGTTTACTGATGCTTGATGCATCTACACACACTTAAACTGATGCCCACACAGCAACAAATGATGTACATGTGAGCAGTGAGTGTGTGTGTGTGTGTGTGTGTGTGTGTGTGTGTGTGTATGTGTATGTGCGTGTATGTGTATGTGCGTGCATGTGTGCATGCGTGCATGTGTGCATGTCTGTGTGTGTGTGTGTGTGCGTGCCCATGTGACCGAGCGAGTGTGTGTGTGTGTGTTTGTGTGTGTGCAGGCCCAAGGCCCTCATGTTCTCCTCTCAGGGTTAATGGAATGGCAGTGTGTCTCAGGTGGATCATTAACAACGTTCAGGGAGGAGAGAGTTCTATAAAAGAACCTTCACAGCTGCTTTTCTTGTCTCTCTTCTTCTCTCTATCTATCTATCTCCCTTCCTCTCTTTGTCTTGTTCTTTTTCCCTGTCTCCTTTCTACTATCCCATGTGACAGAGGTCAGTTGCTTCGCTTAATTCACGGGTGAGTAGCACAACCAGGTCTGGACCTCGTCTGTCTTGAAAAAGTGATTGAATCAGATTAACCTGCATGGAGAAATAAAGGATCAACAAAGAAGGGTATATATTCACCTGCTCTCCATCTCTCTCTCCCTTCAGCCAGCCACTCCTCAGCTGCCGTTGAAGCATGTAGAAACTCCGGTAAGTCTCTCTCTCTTCATACTTCTGTGATGTTGATGATTGCTATTTGCAATAGTTATTAGCCTATACATCGATAGGGATGTTACAGAACCTTTGGCTTGTCTGGGCAGTGTGATGTACTGTAGTGCCATAGGTGACCATTCCTAATTGTATGGAGGTGACCCCAAAATAGTTATGCTTGACTCCTTTACTGTTGAGACGTGGGATCAACTCTGTAAAGCTTAGCTGTCATGTTGTTATCAAAATGAGTGTTCAGACATGGACTATTTTCAAGGAGGTTGACGTAAGAGCACTATTATAAACTGGGCGGTTCGAGCCCTGAATGCTGATTGGCTGACAGCCATGGTATATCAGACCGTATACCATGGGTATGACAAAACATGTATTTTTACTGGTCTAATTACATTGGTAACCAGTTTATAATAGCAATAAGGCACCTCGGGGGTTTGTGATATATGGCCAATATACCACGGCTAAGGGCTGTGTCCAGGTACTCTGTGTTGCGTCGTGCTTAAGAACAGCCCTTAGCCGTGGTATATTGGCCATATACCACACCTCCTCGGGCATTATTGCTTAATTATAAAATACCTCCTGGACCCAGAGAACATGGAAAGTTCACTGCAATATTTCCCACCCCAGTGGCTTACTCTGTTTCAGTGGAAGTCCAGTTGTTGAGCCATTCTGTACTGTACTGTATGAACCCAGTAGAGATGAGTCGGTGAATACAGACGTCACCCAGTTGTGGACTACGGCTGTATATGTTTGCTGCTGACAGACAGACAGACCACAAACAGACAGAATTATCTGTGGATGGATGGACCCTGCTTTATTTCGGATGCAGTTACCTTACATGCACTTGTAGCATACATTCTCATCTTCACACACAAACTGTACACATACATTTGTTTAGGGGAGAGTGGGGTAAGTTGAGAGTTTTTTATATTCAGCATCACTCCGTCAGGGGAAATATAGTATTCTTTCTATCAAAGATATCTACATATATTTCAGGAGTTTGTGTATCCCTGGAAATAATCAGAATTAATGTAAACTTTACAGTTTTGAAAACATAGCTTGTCAAAAAAATGTGGTCTCTTGGCACAACTTAACCCGGGTATAGGGTAAATTGAGCTGTGGGACAGGGTAAGTTAAGCCGCCTACACATTTCTGTACTGAATGAAATATTACCACTACCTTTTTAAAACCATGTATATCTTTATTTCCCAAACACAATTCAACACAATCACAATCACTTTATTGTCTTTAAATAATTGTAAGGATATTTTAACACAGGCTTAACACCGAACAAACACTTTCTACTTTTTCTTAAACACTTTTAACATAGGTCAGGCCCTGTTGTTACCTCATCCCAGCGATAATGCCTTTGCATTATGCCTGGGAAGAAAACACTTCAATTTGCTCAACTTGCCATTGGCTCAACAATTAGCTAAACTTACCGCAAGGCAAACATTTAGACTATATTAGCCCACACAGCTACAAGGATGACCTTTCATGCTAGGATTAGGAAATCATATTGAAGCTTATAGAGACCCCCAACTGTTGTATATCTTAAAAGTATCTACTTTGGTTTAGATACAAACATCATTAAACCTCTAACACAATAAATTAATTTGACTTGGTGAAAATAATTATGGGGGACTTAACTTGATTACCACTTTTTCAATGTGGTTTCTTCTTATACAGACTCCATGAAATGATGACCTCTTCCTAAATATTTGGTCAAATGATACTTACCCCACTCTCCCCTACTGTACACACAGTACATACTTTATACCCATGTACGGTAGGTGGAGGGAAGCTACGCAGCTTGAGGTTTTTTAGAATCACAAATCCAACTGGCAAAGCAACAGAGAGAGGGGGAGGGAGTAAGAGAAAGAGGGGGGGAGGGGGATGTGAGGGAGAGGGCAGATGAGATGAGAGGGGGAGTGAGAAGAGGGGAATGATATAGATCAATATGAAGAGGGGCGTGAAAATACAGAAAAAAGAGAAGAAGTGAAGGAAGAAAAAGGGGAAGACAGAAGACAGACAGACAACAGACAGACAGGAAAAGACAGACAACGACAACAAGCGGTGAATTTGAGAGTTGTAGGTGTATGTGTGAGAGAAAGAGAGACAGACAGAGAGAGAGAAAGAGAGAGCAAGAGAGAGAGAGAGGGGGGCAGACAGTAGGTAGGATGTTCTGGTTTATAAAGGGTTAGGGTTAGACAACGAGACAGAACGATGGTGACAGTGGACTAAAAACGGGGAGACTTGAATGGTGCCCCTAAAAATGCCCCCAGTTTCGTCCCAAAATGTCACAGGGGGAGTGAGAGAGGAGGGGAGGATTTTAGTTTTTCCTTTTTAGAATTCGAAAAGCGACTAACGCTTTAGAGAGGGAAGGATGGTAAAATTTTTTTGTTAGCCAAGGGGAGAGCCACTTGGTTGTTGAAAAAAAAAGGGCTTTCCATTGTGCGTGGGGGGGCGGCCGGGTCGGGCCCAAATGCCCCGGGGTAGATTTAAGCAACTTACTGTGCCCCAGGAAAGCCCCGGGTGCTCGACGTGCTGGTAAAAAATTTCGGGAAAATTAAAAGGGAAGGAGAAAGCGGTGGAAAAAAAATTTTTTGCCTTTTAAAAAACGAAAAAATTAGGGAGGAAACGCTGATTAGGGGGGGGGGGGCCCTTCCGGGGGTCTTCCCCTTCCTAAAAAAAAATTCCCTACCCCCGGGGTTTTTTTCCCGGGTTTTATCCCCCCTTTTCCAATTTTTTGGGAAAAAAACCCCGGGGGAAACCCTAACACACTTAAACCTAACCCCAAATTGTTTTCCTAACACTGGTTCTGTATCCCCCTCCCCCCCTCCCCTCCTCCTCCTCCCCCCTCCTCCCAGGGGTTTGTGAACTGGGAAGCAATTTTTATTTTTTCCTATAATTGGTTTCAGGTTTCCTCTTTTTCCCGGGTATATTAGCACAGCCGATAGGGAGGAGTCAGGGTTAAAAAATTACACTAGAAAAAACACCAGCCTCTCGGGAAATATTTGGAAATGTGTAATTGGTAGCAAGGTAAAAGGATTTTTTGGAAGAGTGTTAGCCCCAAATACCTTCATATCCCACTTTTCCCAAAGGGGCTTTCCCCTAGCACAATGGGGGGGTGTCGCTTTAAAAAAATAAACTTTAATTTAAACTTGGAGAGTAGTAGTATTTAGAGGGGACCCACCACACAAAAACACAACACAAAACCCACAAGAAAGAGAGAGCGAGGAGAGAAAGAAGAGAGAGAGAAAGACGAGAGAGTATAGAGAGAAGAGAGCAAAGAGAGAAGGAGAGAGAGAGAGAAAAATATGAAGAATAAGGATAAATAAAGATGGCAGAGAGGAGAGAAGAGAGTAAGCAGAAGATAAGCAAAGAGAGAGGAGAAAAAAAGAGATAGATAGGAGGGAGAGATAGAGAAGAGAGAAGATATAGAGAGAGAGAAGATGTAATAGGAGAAGAAAGAGATAGATAGAGAAGAGAGGAGAGAAGAGAGAGAGAAGAGAGAGAGAGAGAGAGAGAGAAGAGAGCGAGAGAGGAGAGAGAGAGAGAGAGAGAGAGAGAGAGAGAGAGAGAGAGAGAGAGAGAGAGAGAGAACTGGAACCTGTTTTGGGGGGCTGGAGAGTTTTTTGAGGAGAGAGTACCGTCGTGACAAAGGAATAAACAACAGAGAACAAACTGGACATATACAATGAGATCTTCATCGTCTCTTGGAGGGAAATGAATATGGATATTGGACTCCAGGTGTTTCTCTGTGATTGACCACCAAGGTGTTTGGTCATTGAAGCGTTCGCCAGGGGGAAAGGGGGAACACAGAAGGGGTAGAGCAAGAGGGACCCTGGTCCAGTCCGGACCAAACCAGACCAGTCCAGCCATGACCTCAGGTGGCGCCCTCCGCAGGCGCCTCGCCTCCTTCCGCACGTCTTGGAGGCGGAGCGCTGAGTACCTGTTTAAGGTAGGCCACGCCCACTCAGGAAGTGTACCTGGTGGGATGACGGGGCTGCTGTCAAACACCCTACTATGTATTTAGGGTATCTGGGGTACCTTGAGGAATGGCATATAAAGTTGTAGATTTTGGGTGAAATTAACCTTTAAGAATGAGTTTGTCCATACATTGTTCCACTACCCACTGGGCACAGACATCAGTTCAATGTCTAGTTTTGATTTACATTTGGTTGAGTTGTCAACTATTGTGAATTCAATGTGAAATCACCAAAAAATGTCATCATGTCATTGGTTTTAGGTTAAACGTTGGTTTCCATGTTGATTCAACGTCATCCCATTGATATTTTTGGTTGAAATGACGTGAAAACAACGTTGAAAACCAGTTTTTTCCCAGTGGGTACATACCAATATCTCAGCTTCTTTGGTGGTTTTGGTCTTTCATTGAATGTCTTCCTTCTGTCTCTCTGTGTTTTGGTGTTTCATTGAATGTCTTCCGTCTGTCTCTCTGTGTGTTTTGGTCTTTCATTGAATGTCTTCCTCCTGTCTCTGTGTTTTGGTCTTTCATTGAATGTCTTCCTCCTGTCTCTCTGTGTTTTGGTCTTTCATTGAATGTCTTCCTTCTGTCTCTCTGTGTTTTGGTCTTTCATTGAATGTCTTCCTTCCTGCTTCTGTGTTTTTGGTCTTTCATTGATATCTTCCTCCTGTCTCTCTGTGTTTTGGTCTTTCATTGAATGTCTTCCTTCTGTCTCTCTGTGTTTTGGTCTTTCATTGAATGTCTTCCTCCTGTCTCTCTGTGTTTTGGTCTTTCATTGAATGTCTTCCTCCTGTCTTTCTGTGTTTTGGTGTTTCATTGAATGTCTTCCTCCTGTCTCTCTGTGTTTTGGTGTTTCATTGAATGTGTTCCTCCTGTCTCTCTGTGTTTTGGTGTTTCATTGAATGTCTTCCTCCTGTCTCTCTGTGTTTTGGTGTTTCATTTAATGTCTTTCTCCTGTCTCTCTGTGTTTTGGTGTTTCATTGAATGTCTTCCTCCTGTCTCTCTGTGTTTTGGTGTTTCATTGAATGTTATTCCTTCCTGTCTCTTGTGGTTTTTTGGTGTTTTATTGAATGTTTTCATCCTGTCTCTCTGTGTTTTGGGGTTTCATGAATGTCCTTCTCCTGTTTCTATGTGTTTGGTGTTCATTGAATGTCTTCCTCTGTTTGTTTCTCTGTGTTTTGCAGTGGTTCATTGAATGTCTTCCTCCTGTTTCTCTGTGTTTTGGTGTTTCAAGTGAAGGTCTTCCTACTGTTATCTGTGTTTGGTGTTTCATTGAATGTCTTCCTCCTGTTTCTCTGTGTTTTGGTGTTTCATTGAATGTCTTCCTCCTGTTTCTCTGTGTTTCTCTTCTTGGTAGTTTGTTGGTCCTGCTGGGTAGTGTATCTTTACAGCTGGTTTTGATAACTGGGATGAGTATTACTGAGGTGGAAAGCAGAACACACCACACACCACACACACACACACACACACACACACACACACACTAACAGTCACTTAGGGATAGTTCTCTGAGTCATAGCTAATGAAAAAAAGAGTTGTGTGTGTGTGTGTGTTTGTGGTTGGACACAGAGAGTATGAGAGGCTTGGTGGTTGGGTTGTGTGTACACGTTTAGTTCTGCATGTGTATATAGGCGTATGTGTGTGTGTCCATGCCGTGTGCGATGCAAGAGACCTTGTTCTTACGTTATTGCCCCTCTTGTCCCCTGTGAACAGACATATTGTTTCAGTTTTCTAGCAACAGTGTCCATCGTACCAGCAGGCAGCATCTGTTTCTAGTCACATCACAATGAAGAATGGCTTTTCATTTTGCCTCTCTAGCATTAGTTTCATCACAGAGAAATGAATGGAAGAATGGCAACACAGAGCTCTGTACTGTGTACATCACCTTCTGTCCAGGACCTCTCTATCCTACTACACATACCGCTGTCTATGTTCTTAACCCATATGGAGAAGTCAGTGCTTGCCTTGTGGGGAAAAAGGATGTTGAATCACTAAAGATAGCCCTAGCCAAGTCCCAGTATTCGTAGACATCTCCCTTTCCGCATCTCCTTTTCTTTGTGACCATGGACAGACAGATGGGAGGATGTAGATGTCAATGTAACTCTTACAGAAGGGTAAAACACAGACAGACAGCTATGTACTATACAGGCTAAGTTGAAATGTTCATGTATTTTCACATTTCAAACATACGGTACGTTGCTAGCGTATCAAACTGAACGTTTCAACCTATAGCCTTTGCTGTGAGTGTGCTGGTTGGCTGGTTGGTTCCAGGACACGTCAAATATGTGATGTCAGTTAGATTACTGTAACAGGAAACAACCAGTTATCAGTAATTAGATGTTTCCTAATGTTGCTGTATTAAGTTACCATAAAGGAAAGGAGATGAGGAAATGAGGAGATGAGCAAAGAAAGCTGTTTAAGACTGTAGGGATGCAGTCTCTGCTCTGTGCCACACGACACTAACCAACCAACCCATCACCACGCCGTCCCCAGGGTCATAGACAGGCTAATACCATGGTAATACTATGCGTTTAAAGCACCAGCTGTCCGACAGCATCTATTTTAAAACACAACACTTTTGTTTCTGAACACTGTGATCTATTGTCTAATGTCCCTCTTCTGTTTATCACCCTCGTTGTTGCAATGAAATGTGTTTCGTGTTCAGTGCTGCAGCCTCCTCGATATTCTCCAGTGCTTTTCTCGCTGTAGTTAGAGTGAGGAATGGGAACACAGGGTACAAGTTATGCCCCAGGGATATAATGTTATTTCAAAAGCGATGGACGCATCTCATCTGGCTAAATTCTATCCAGTTGTGTTTGGATTTGATATAGTTTAAGGCCAGATGCAGTGTCCTTTAATGTCGAATTTACAATGCAGTTGTGTATGACACACGCTCGCACACTTACATAATACACAAACAATGCCAAGTTGATCAAGGAGACTGAGTGTATCTTCTCTGTGTTCTCTGTAGGGAACCCCAAGGTCCTGTAAGAGTGAGCAGACTAGACGAAGGTCATCACGGTAAGAGAGACCACTGTCTTTCCCTCACTATCTCAGCTGTCACTATTCCTCATCTACTGCAGTAGACAGCCACATTAGACCTGTTTCTCTGACCTCATGTGTCGGTTCGTTGATACCCATAGCGCTCAATACAAACTGAAATCCATGGACACAGGCCTATCAAAAACACATCAGGATGTATTCTATCCTGTTGTCAGATCATTGTGACAACAATGCCTGTTTCTCCAGCTATGTTTCCCATCTAACAGCCAACTGTGAGTTGGGATTTTGGTAACTGATCAGAAGGATTGCGCAATGCCAGCTTGGATCATTCCGGAACACTTTGTTCTGAACTGAAGAACTAGGATTGAAGATATTTATGGAAACGTGTGATATCATATAAAACCATTTCTAATTACCATAGACATAAATCACATTGGTTTCTCAATACTGAAGAGTCACACATTAAAGCTATAAGAGATAATAGATACCACACACAAGAGCCACCAAGGAAGAGTTTTATAGATCTATGCTGATGTACAAACCCTGTAAGATATCAGGGGCCATATTCTCCTCTCCCCTCCTCTCCTCTCTCCCCCCTCCTCCCTTCTCCTCTCCCCTCCTCTCCTCTCTCCTCTCTCCTCCTCTCCTCCCCTCCTCTCCCCAGGAGTGTGTCTGCTGCAGGCCATGGATGAGGACTATGAGGTGGACCTGGTGTATATCACCTCTCTAACTATCTCTCCTCTCCCCCCTCCTCCCTTCTCATCCTTCCTCCTCTCCCCCCTCCTCCCTTCTCCTCTCCTCCACTCTCTCCTCTCCCCTCCTCTCCCCTCCTCTCCTCTCTCCTCCTCTCCTCTCTCCTCCTCTCCCCAGGAGTGTCAGTCTGCTGCAGGCCATGGATGAGAACTATGAGGTGGACCTGGTGTATATCACCGAGAGGATCATCTCCGTCTCCTTCCCCAGCGGAGCGGAGGAGCGCAGCTACACCTCCAACATCAAGGAGGTGGCCTCCATGCTGGCCTCCAAACACGGGGAACACTATCTGGTGAGACCCCCTTTCTTGCCACTGCACTACCACACTACTGGGTCTATCTGTTGGTGTGGTGGCGTTTCATGCACCCTGTCACGTCCTGTTGCTGATGTACAACTGTTTCCTGGAATCGTTAGGTCATTCTTATTGATGTGGATTTTGTGATTTCAGCTCCTCAACCTAAGCGAGAGGAGGAATGACATCACCAAGCTTAACCACAAGGTATACACACACACACACACACACACACACACACACACACACACATTCACACGCACGCACACACACAACTTTCCTAAATGCAATGGTGGTGGTGCAAGTTTTGAGTTGTGATAGTGGTCTGCGTGTTCCTCTGTAGGTGCTGGAGTTTGGCTGGCCTGACCACCATGCTCCGGCCCTGGATAAGATCTGCAGCATGTGCAAGGCCATGGACACCTGGCTCAACGCTGACCAACACAATGTAGTGGTGCTCCACAACAAGGTACTGTAGGTGGTCGGACATCTCCAGAGAAGGAAGGAAAGATACATTGTCAAAGTATTGGAACAGGGTCCTGTAGCCTTACAGATCACTGATCACTCCAAGGAAGGGAGGAAGGAAGGATACATTGTCAAAGTATTGGAACCGGGTCCTGTAGCCTTACAGATCACTGATCACTCCAAGGAAGGGAGGAAGGATACATTGTCAAAGTATTGGAACAGGGTCCTGTAGCCTTACAGATCACTGATCACTCCAAGGAAGGGAAGAAGGAAGGATACATTGTCAAAGTATTGGAACCGGGTCCTGTAGCCTTACAGATAACTGATCACTCCAAGGAAGGGAGGAAGGAGGGGTTTATTCCCGGGGGTATTACAGTATGTTGTGGTCCACTGTGTTAAGGACAGTAGAGGGTGCTCTCTGTTTCAAGAGTGTGAAAGGAGACAGCCAGGCCCCAGGGAGAAGGTCCCCTATGAATACTCTACTCTGTATGTCCTCAATTCCCATTGGGTAAGGAGGTAAAACATCAAACTGTCTCCCTAGCTCATTGGTTGAAAAAGGAAAGGCACCAAACTGTTTCCCTGTACCTCATTGGACAAAGTGGGATAATCAAGCTGTCAAGACAAGTCCTCCACATTCTAGTATTGCTGGTAAAACACTTAAATGGTCCTTAACTGCAGACTATTAGACTGAAGCCATATTTCACAAAGAAAGACAGTAAACAGGAGAGTCATTTGATTCTAATAGAGACTGTTGCTGCTGCTGCCAGCGTTTTGGCAGCACAACCTCCTCCCCCAACCTCTCAGGCCCAATGTGTCATCATACGACTTGTCATGAATGATCCAATGTCAACTACAGTAACGACTTTAAAAACTTGATCTAAGTCTCTATCAATCAGTGTTAAAGACGTTGAGTCAATGTAGCTGAATAGTGAGTAGTAACTTGATAAGTCTGTGGGGGAACATTTTATTCAATATGTACAACAAGCGGTAGCAAACAGAGCATCCCCATGGTTACCAACGCTTATTTTCCACCTCATCCTGAAATTGAAGCTTTTGGTCAAGACGGAAAAACTGCTCCCATTCAGAAAGCCTCATTTGATTAAATGCAATTTGTTATCGCCCTACTCAGAAATGTTCCACGTGCTGTTTCAGAGTTAAAGGTCAAAATGTGCTGTTGCATTTCTATTTTCTGTTGGATTTGACCACAAAGAATGTCATCGTGATAAATGGAACCAGGCAGTTTGATCAAATTCGATCTGTGGCAGTCTGGATTGAAATTAGCCTAGTCACTCAAATCAAACTCACTGCACAGCATTTACATGTCTACACTGCAGGTACAAACATTGTTCGACCTTGAAGTGTGTAACTAAAAATACCCTTGTATTCTCTCTCAAAAATGATTTCTCCCTCTCTCTCTCTCCCCCCCCCCCCCTCTCTCTCCCTCTCTCCCCCCCTCTCTCTCTCTCCCTCTCTCCCTCTCATTCTCTCTCTCCCTCTCTCCTCTCCCCTCCTCTCCTCTCTCTCTCCCGTCTCTCCTCTCCCTCGCTCCTCTCTCTCTCTCCTCTCTCTCTCCCTCTCCCCTCCCCTCACTCCTCTCTCTCCTCTCTCTCCTCTCCTCTCCGGCCCCCTCTCTCTCCCTGCTCTCTCTCTCTCCCCTCTCCTCTCCACCTCCCTTCTCTCTCCCCCTCTCCCCTCTCCGTCTCTCTCTCTCTCTCTCCTCTCTCCCTCTCGTCTCCCCTCGTATCTCTCCCTCGCTCTCCCCTCTCTCTCCTCTGCTCCTCCTCCTCTCTCCCTCTCTTCCCTCTCCTTCACGCACTCACTGTGTGGTGCTCTTCTGCTCCTCCCCATTCGCCTCTCGGCTTCTTCTCCACTCCTATTTCCCTGTTTGGAGCTCTCCCCCCCTTAATTCCCGCTCTCTCTCTCTCTCCCTCTCTCCCTCTCATTCTCTCTCTCCCTCTCTCCCTCTCTCTCTCTCTCTCTCTCTCTCCCTCTCTCTCTCTCTCTCTTTCTACAGGGGAACCGAGGGAGGACAGGAGTGGTGGTGGCTGCCTACATGCATTACAGCAACATATCAGCCAGGTACCAGAGACTTCTGACTGCAGACCAACTGATCTAATTGACCCTATTTTTTGTTAGTCAACATGGAACAATGTATTCATTCAATATCACCACCATGCTTGAAGTTCCATACATCCTTAAGGTTCCCAGATATTTCCAGATTAATACAAACAGACATTTGTCCATTCTATACATTTAATTTTATATTTCTATCATGGTTGGGGTCCATTTGAATTGAAGGCAGTCAATTCAGGAAGTAAACTGACATTTTAATTCAGTAATTGAAAAAATCTGTTTTCAATGACTTCTCAATAAGCTAAAAAGGAGAAGCTTTTTCCATTTTGGGATTTTTAATTCAAATCACTTTTTGAATTGACTGACTTCCATTCGAATTCACCCCAACCCTGATTTCTATGGCTTCACCCCTTGAGATGTGGGTCAAGCCATAGACAAAAGCATGGGAGGATGTTAGGCAAGCACATAGATCTGTAACAGATAGATAGGCCAAAGGGAATGGAGACGGGCCTCAAATTAAACACTGATGTGGTTATTATGTCAAAACATTCTGTTCAGGCTCTGGTGTGTTTTTGGCCAATAAAGAGGAACACTTACATATGTCATACTCTGTAAGGTCTCCAGATGTTTCAGGGTGGGGGACGGGGCTTACAGTCTTACAGTTTCACTAAGAAATAAGAAAGATCAAATCACACACTTATATTGTTGTTTGTTTGATACTCAAACAGTACACTCATGAACAAACGTTACGTGTTACAGATGTATGTAATTTGAGACAGTTTGCTACGGCAGGAAAATAATACTGCAGCAACAGGAAATGTGAATTATTATGTGGATTATAATTCCTGGACATTTTTTAACTTCAGAAGCCTTTTTAAACCTCAAATACCCTATACATTTTAAATTTCCTGCAGGAAAGTTGACCTGCAACAGGGTGATCAAATTAAGATCCTACATCTGTACATTGACCAGAGAATAATCCTGGGATACTGTAGCATTGTGGGGATGGCAAAAGATTAAAAGCAGTAGATAAATGACACATTTTAAGGGACACGGTCGATTAAGGATGTTTTTTAGGGGAGAAGACAACGTAAGGGCACTTTTCAGGGTCATTTCAGGGCACACTTATTGTATGTATGTTGTATGTGTTCAGTGAAGAAGAGACGATAATGAACTTTGTCTCTCCTGTGGTCTTCAGTGCTGACCAGGCACTGGACAGGTTCGCCATGAGGCGCTTCTACGAAGACAAAGCACTTCCTGTGGGTCAACCGTCCCAGAGAAGGTCAGTTACTACTTACTACCTCACTTCCTGTTTTTGCACACTACAACTTCCTATAGGCTGAATGAGTTTGATCCCTTGGTGAGAGCAACTGGCTTGATTCCATTCTTAGAATGTGCACCCTTCATTCTGTTCAGTGAGGAAGTCAACAAGGGTAAAGGGAAGGTCGTGACTTCTCAGAGTGGAATCCAGTCAATGGATGACCTGGTGTAACTCTCACTGTTTCAAAGGCTATCCTCCTCTCCTCTCCTCAGTCCCTCGCTCCCAATGCGTCTCAAACAGGAAATACCGCTGTCTTTTTTTGTTCCCTTAATCCTCCCGATGAAGCCTAATTGACATAATTGAGGAAGAATGTTTGTTGGAAAGTGAGCAGCTTTTTGTCTTCTCCAGGATTCCACTGAGAGCTGAAAGGTCACAGGGTTTTCAGAGTTCATTCTGACAATACTATCCATCCTTCCTTCCTCCCCTTCTCAGTGATCTGGCATGCTGAATAGGTGGCTTTGTAATGGAACCCTTAGTGGCACTTAGAACTGATTTAGGGTCAGATCTCACTAACCCAGTCCTAGCCATTGGTCATTACTGAGTAAATAACAAACTGACCCAGGATCAGTAGGTTGTGGCAGATAAGGGAACCCTAGGTGGATCCAGCAGGCAACAGCAGCAGTAGCAGCACAAGGCCTGGCCTCTGACCAGCTGCTATTTCCTTACTTAGATATAATTATCCCTCAGCCAGTGCCCTGCAGTCTGGACTTATTATGGTCTGGCATGTGTGACATTAACATGGGGAGCGGTGGTGGTGGTGGATCTCAGCACTGCTACACCAATGCCATAGAAACGCACCACATAGAGAAACACTCATTTCTGTTCTGAAAGGTATCACTATCAGATCATCATCAACATTCTTGTGAGGAAATTCCACTCTATATTAGAATCTAGGTTAGATTGGAATATTCTGAGCCAAAATGGCAGATGGTTGTCCAGCCTTGATCTCTGTGCAGCCCAACATTATATCTATCTCTATACAGTAGTACCTGTAATATGTCAGAATCTGTGTGGCCGTGTTGTCCGGCGTGACCCCGCTGTTACACAGGGAGCTCCTTACACAACCCAGCTGGTCTGTGATTGCTTCCTGCTCCGACCTAATTGAATTTGGGAGACCGAACCATCTGGCGGCTGCCAGCGGAGCGCGGGGTGAGCACAGGGGTGGTGGGGAGATGGGCCGACCTCTGGAACAGAGGTCACACTCTGCATGATCATCATTAGTATCATTAACAGGCTGCCTGGCAGGCAGACATCAACAACACAACATAACTCTGTATGGCAGGCAGACATCACCAACACAACACAACATACCCCTGCCTGGCAGGCAGACATCACCAACACAACACAACATACCCCTGCCTGGCAGGCAGACATCACCAACACAACATACCCCTGCCTGGCAGGCAGACATCACCAACACAACACAACATACCCCTGCCTGGCAGGCAGACATCACCAACACAACACAACAGACCCCTGCCTGGCAGGCAGACATCACCAACACAACAGACCCCTGCCTGTCAGGCAGACCGGTCTGGCGCTCGTACACTCCAATTCATTCTGACATCTCCATAGTGTGCGAAGACTCTTTTATAATAGATGTGGTGTTTACTAGTCTTGCTTGCCAGACTCATGGTGCATGTCATTGAAGGGTTTGTCCCTCTGTTTCACTCTGTGACTGTGTTGTGTGGTTGTGTGTAGGTATGTGCGTTATTTCAGTGGTCTGCTCTCTGGCCACATCAAGATTAACAACAAGCCTCTGTTCCTGCACCACGTCATCATGCACGGCATCCCCAACTTCGAGTCCAAAGGAGGTGAGGAGTCTGCAACAGGATAGCCTTTATTTCATTATTATAAATGATTAATGATTCATTTTTTAAAATCTTTATTAATTTTTTCTTCAATGGGATAGCCTTTATTCAATGTGTATAAATATTTTTTTCATTTTGGAACACTTTTTCTTCTTTTTGACTTTTTTCCCCTCGCAGGCTGCCGTCCTTTCCTGAAGATTTACCAGGCGATGCAGCCAGTCTACACGTCAGGGATATAGTATGTTTATTTAGTATTTATCTGTTGCATTGTGGGTTGATGTCTTTCAGAGGGCTTGTTTTCCCTCCTCTTTCTTTCTGTCCCTCTCAGTCCACAGTACTTTCAAGTCTGTCACCCCTTGTTAAGAGATTAGCCCTTAATAATCTCCATCTGTGTATGTGTGTGTGTGTGTGTTTGTGTGAGAGAGAGAGAGAGAGAGAGAGAGGGGAGGGAGAAATAGAGAGAGCGGAAGAGAGCGAGAGAAAGCATGAGAGAGAGAGAAAGAAGAGAGAGAGAGAGAGACAGAGAGAGAGAGAGAGAGAGAGAGAGAGAGAGAGAGAGAGAGACAGAGAGAGAGAGAGAGAGAGAGAGAGTATGTATGTATGTGTGTCAGTGTGTTTGCTGGTGGGGCAGGCAGGCAGATAGGGTGTCATTAACACAGCTCCGGGGTTCTATGTGTACAGGGAGGCATACCGTAACTTGCACCTCACTGACCCACCTTCCCCACCCTACCACCCCACCCGGGGTCCTCACCACCAAAACAAAACCACACGGAAATGACCCCCCCACACACACTCACACACATTTACAATCTGCCTTTTGATAACTGATTTGGGATCAGCTCTTCTTACTTCAGTCATACCTTAACCATTATAAGACAAACACCCAAAACTGTTTTTAAAGTGTTTATAATGTTTTTGATCTGTGTTATTTCCACAGTAACGTCCAAGGCGACGGTCACACCAGTATCTGTATCACCATTGAACCTGGCCTGCTCCTGAAGGGAGACATTCTAGTAAGAAGCACATCCTCTGTCATCAAATGCATGGATGTTGTGGTTGTACTGTATACTGTGTTGTATTGGCCTTAGAGGCCTTAGTGGTCTTACAGTAGGTTCATATAACTGTTGAATGTTGACTTTTTTCACATTCCTCGACCACAGGATATTTTCTTTCTCTCTCTCTCTCTCTCTCTCTCTCTCTCTCTCTCTCTCTCTCTCTACTTCTCGCGCTCTCTCTACTCGCTTTCTCTCCTCTCTCTCTCTCTCTCCTCTCCTCCGTCTATCCTCTCTCTCTTCTCTCTCTCTCTCTCTCTCTCATCTCTCTTCTCTCTCTTCTCTCTTCTTCTCTCTCTCTCTCTCTGTAATGTTATCTTGCCCTCCTGTTCACTAGAGTTCTATTAGGGAAGAATGTGTCCTTGTTCCACCACACCAGCACACACCAGACCAGACCATGCATCCCCTGTTCTGACCCTGTTCTGTTCTGGAGGAAAATCATTGTCTGATCTCTAGGACTAGCAGGGTTTAGGGCTGGAGATCTACGACCATGAGTTTGACAATCTGGACTGCTTCCTTGGTCTGGTTTGACTTTAGCAAAAGTTGTTGTCTTCATGTCCGGATATATGCTTACTCTCTCCTCCTCCTCCTCCTCCTCCTCCTCCTCCTCCTCCTCTTCTTCCTCTTCCAGTTGAAGTGTTACCACAAGCGTTTCCGGAGCCCCAGTAGGGATGTGGTGTTCAGAGTGCAGTTCCACACCTGTGCCATCCATGACCTGGGAGTGGTCTTCGGGAAGAATGAACTGGATGAGACATTTAAAGGTATGTGTGTGTGTGTGTTTCTTTGTAGGAGTGCGTACACATGTTTGTGTGTGTATGTACACTACCGTTCAAAGTTTCTTGGCAATTTCTTCGCGTGGAATAGCCTTCATTTCTCAGAACAAGAATAGACTGACGAGTTTCAGAAGAAAATTATTTGTTTCTGGCCATTCTGAGCCTGTAATCGAACCCACAATTGCTGATGCTCCAGATACTCAACTAGTCTCAAGAAGGCCAGTTTTATTGCTTCTTTAATCAGCACAACAGTTTTCAGCTTTGCTAACATAATTGCAAAAGGGTTTTCTAATGATCAATTAGCCTTTTAAAATGGTAAACTTGGATTAGCAAACACAACGTGCCATTGGAACACAGGACTGATGGTTGCTGATAATGGACCTCTGTACGCCTATGTAGATATTCCATTAAAAAAATCTGCCGTTTCCAGCGACAATAGCCATTTACAACATTAACAATGTCTACACTGTATTTCTGATCAATTTGATGTTCTTTTAATGGACAAAAAAAATGGCTTTCCTTTCGAAAAGTGACCCTAAACTTTTGAACGGTAGCATACCTACATGGCCTCTCTAAAAATGTGAAATTGAATGTTGTTTAATGTGTCTCTACACAGATGAGAGATTTCCAGAGTATGGGAAAGTGGAATTTGTCTTCTCCTTCGGTCCTGAGAAAATCAAAGGTACAGGTAATCAGTGTATTTAAAGTCGAATGCTTCAATGCATGCACCATGTAGAAATGTATACACAAACTATATTTGGTACAATAAGGTAATGCACCACAGCATGGATTGGTGTAAATTGATTTAAGTGTGTTGTCACCATGGTTACTGCATGTGGCTAGACAGAAAGTAAATTATATACTGCATTTCTGTTATGGGCATTAATGGGTTAAAGACTGCATTACCCAGCTGGCTTTGTGTCTCTCAGGAATGGGCCACCTTGAGAATGGCCCACAAGTGTCGGTGGACTACAATACCCAAGACCCCCTCATCCGCTGGGACTCCTACGAGAATTTCAACAGGGGCTGCGAGGATACAGGAGATGGTGAGAACCAAGACACACACACACACACACACACACACACACACACACACACACACACACTCACACACACACACACACAGTGGTGGAAAAAGTACCCAATTGTCATACTTGATTAAAAGACACCTTAATATCAGTGGAGGTTGCTGAGTGAGGTTGTTTGATGTATTTGACATCATTCCACTAATTCCGCTCCAGCCATTACCATAAACCCAACCTCCCCAATTAAGGTGACACCAACCTCCTGTGCCTAATAGAAAAGTGAAAGTCGCCTAGTAAAATAGTACTTGAGTAAAAATCTGCAAGTATTTGGTTTTAAATATACTTAAGTATCAAAGTAAATGTAATTGCTAAAATATACTTTAGTATCAAAAGTAAAAGTATAAATAATTAAAAATTCCTTATATTAAGCAAACTAGATAGCACCATAAAAAAGAATTGGGTCAGCCAGAGGAACACTCCAACACTCAGACATAATTTACAAACCAAGCATGTGTGTTTAGTGAGTCCATCAGATCAGAGGCAGTAGGGATGACCAGGGATGTTCTCTTGATAAGTGAGTGAATTGGACAATTTTCCTGTCCTGCTACGCATTCAAAATGTAACGAGTACTTTTGGGTGTCAGGGAAAATGTATGGAGTAAAAAGTACATTATTTTCTTTAGGAACGTAGTGAAGTAAAAGTATAAGTTGTCAAAAATATAAATATAAAGTACAGATACCCCTTTCAAGTATTTGTACTTAAATACTTTACACCACTTCACACATACACACACACACACACACACACACACACACACACACACACACACACACACACACACACACACACACACACACACACACACACACACACACACACACACACACACACACACACTCACACAGTCACACAGACACACACAGTGACACACACAAACACACACACACAGTCACACAGACACACACACACACAGTCACACACACACACACACACACACACCACACACACACACACACACACAACACACACACACACACACACACACACACAGTCACATAGTCACACAGTCACACACACAGCACAGTCAGACTAGGTGTGCTGGATCAGTTGTCTTCACTACAGTGACTAATAGAGTCTTCAAGACTAACTGTCACATAACTGGCCGCCCTCGGTGGGGGGGGGGTATTGAAATGTTAACGTTGACTCACACACACGCACACACACTCATACATCCACAAGTGACGGACTCAACAGGCAGATGTTGGCATGTAAATCAGTAGACCCCCCCTCACAGTCTAGAAGAAACCAAAGGATGTTGGCTGACTTCCAGTTGGCTAGCAGTATACCTCAACAGCAGAACGGTGTGATAATGGGCCAATATCATTTTCATGAAATGTAATAAAAGCCTCCTTGCGGTGGTAGACCCATGAGAGTCATATAGAGCTATATCACACTGTACAGTTAGGGACTTTCTGGTGTTACTGCGTGATGCAACCCTTGATTAGTTGTGGGGAACACAGTCCTCTCCTTGGACAGCAGGTGTTCCTATAGAGCCCCTGATGTTTGGTAAATGAAGGTGATAGTGAGAGGCCACAGCATTTAGGAACATGGCCCTTCTACTGGCCCTTCCACTGGTACTTCCACTGGCCCTTCCACTGGTACTTCCACTGGCCCTTCCACTGGCCCTTCCACTGACCCTTCCACTGGCACTTCCACTGGCCCTTCAACTGGCCCTTCACTGTACTTCCACTGGTACTTTCCACTGGCCCTTCCTCTGGTACTTCCACGGTACTTCCACTGGCCCTTCCCACGGTCTCCACTGCCCTTCCACTGGTACTTCCACTGGTACTTCCCCTTACCCTTCCCCTGGCCCTTCCACTGGTAGCTTCCACTGGCCCTTCACTGGTACTTTTCCACTGGCCTTCCACTGTAACCTTCCACTGGTATGGCCCTTCCACTGCCCTTCCAGACCCTTCCACTGGCACTTCCACTGGTACTTCCACTGGTACTTCCACTGGTACTTCCACTGGTACTTCCACTGGCACTTCCACTGGTACTTCCACTGGCCCTTCCACTGGTACTTCCACTGGCCCTTCCACTGGTACTTCCACTGGTACTTCCACTGGTACTCCTGGTACTCCACTGGCCCTTCCACTGGTACTTCCACTGGACTTCCACTGGCCCTTCCACTGGCACTTCCACTGGACCCTTCCACTGGCCCTTCCACTGGTACTTCCACTGGCCCTTCCACTGGTACTTCCACTGGTACTTCCACTGGTACTTCCACTGGCACTTCCACTGGTACCTTCCACTGGCCCTTCCACTGGTACTTCCACTGGCCCTTCCACTGGCCCTTCCACTGGTACTTCCACTGGCCCTTCCACTGGTACTTCCACTGGTACTTCCACTGGCCCTTCCACTGGTACTTCCACTGGTACTTCCACTGGCCTTATGTTCCACTGGCCACTTTCCACCCACCCCCTGGTATTCCCTGCCTTTCACATTAAAGTTAGTGAACACTTTCTCCTGTTCGACCTTGAATCCTCCAAGCTGCACTTTGCCTGTCTAGCATGGCCCAACTCATCAACCCGCCCTACTCTCTTGCCTCCTCTCGTTCCCCTCCTTTCCTTTCCTGCCCCTCTTAGCCGCAGGAGCGGACCCCCTGCCATAAAGCACCATGACAACCAACCCCCCCCCCCCCCCCCCCCCCCCCCACACCTGTCAATCACTCCTTTAAATAGCTGCTGCAGAAATAGGTGGGTGTCAGTCGCTCTGCTAGTAACCCGAACCCCTCTACTCCCCCCTCCCACCACCACCACCGCCACCCCCCACCCAGTTCACAGTGTTGGTGTGTGAGGGGCTAGGGTTGAGGGTCAGGAGATGACGGGAGCCCACACAAAACTCCTGCCCCACCTCTACTCCTCAACCCTCCACCTTACCACTCTAATTCTGCAGTCCCACAGCCCCATACCATAGCCCTCCCTGGGGCGGTCATCATTCATCATGATCCCTATTGATTACTATTGTGGACGGGACGAGACAATGAATACAGTGAGGGCAGTCGGCACCCTGCTTATGCCACCCAAATGCCCCACGGGGGAGAGAGAGGAGGCAGTTGCACCAGAGCACAGGCCATCATGTCAAGCTAGGCAAATAGCCATCATCTCAAGCTAGGCCTTCGGCAGCCATTTTGGTGCAGTGGTAATGGCTTGAATAGAAACTACTGTATTATTTCATATTACATTCTCTGGAAAGCTCTTGTGGTAATTGCTATGTAAAGAAGGTCATTGGGAAATGCTGGTGTTGGCAGTTTGATCCTAATTGAATGGACTAGTTGTTTGGGTCTGGTTGGCTCAGCAGAAACCATTCTGCCAGTCCCCTCGCTTAGTTAATTGCAGGCTTCGCTTCCTTAGCAGTTGGATTGGATCTGAAAAATGTGGATTCAGTACATTGTGCGAGAACATTGTGTGCCCACCATTCAGTTTATCTTCGGCTGAAAGTGAACCTCTGTGAAAGCTCAGGTGGTTTTATAGGTTGAGGGAAGATGTCTGTGTTCCAAGGCTGGGCTTGGGTTTTGAGCTAGGGTTAGTTCGTTCACTAGCTGCTTTGCTACCCACCTCAATGTTTCTCCGCCAAGGGGTCTACTCTGAAAATACCCTTCCTCTCTTTCTTTCCCTCCCTCTCTTTCCCTCCCTCTTTCAAGGGCTTCAGCTTGGGTTCTGGAGTGAGGGTTCAAGACCGGTCGCTAGCTGCTTGTTGGCCCACCTCAACGTTTCTTCACCAAAGGGTCTGTTCTGAAAACACCGCCCTCTCCCCTCCCTCTCTCTTTCCCTCCCTCTCTCTCTTCCTCCTCTTTTGATCACAGTGTTGAGGTCGACAGGTCAGGTGAATGTCGATGAGGGAGCAGTTTTTAGGCGCTAGGCTAAAGGCTAACACGCAGACGGACAAGCTACGCTCTGTAGCCTAGCTTTCATTAGGTTCTGGACAAATGGAGTGTTTTCACATAACTGTCGTGACGCTGGGTACTCCAGTGGACTCTGGTCACTCGTCACGTCATTAAAAGCATTAGGGCAGTGTTATTTGTCAGTGTGGTAGCTAGGCCTAGTCCTAAATGGCTGTTCCTGGTAAGGTCTTTGTTTACATATTGCAATGACCTTTGTAGAGCTTAGATGAAAGGAGTACATGAAAGATAAGCCTGTATAAAAGGTGTGTATGAATAACAAGGTTATTGGTAGAATAGTACATCACTACGCTTTGATGATGTATCTGCAAAGCAGCTATGCTAAATCATTGTCAGGCAAATTTCTGCGATTTGTTTGAAGTATGAAGGTGTTCAGAGGGTTTGTGTCCACTTTTAGCCTGGGTACTGCTGAGATGTGTGAAGAGCATTGTTTGACAGTTCCTATTTGTGAGTTATTTGGGCATGTGTGCATCCACTTTGAGTGAATGTGTAGAAATGAGTGTGTGTGCCTGCGTTCATGCATGTGTGTGTGTTTCACTAATAGCTTCACTAATAGTCCTTCACTAATAGCCCTGTACTCAGCTGTTGACCTGGGGTCCATTCAACAAGGGAAATTGTTCTCGAACATTAGCTAGCGTATTCCATTTGTTTTGTGTTAGCCGCGACCGTTCGTTAATGTTAACTAACAGTCTAATTAAGTGGCCATGTAGACTTTCTATTAGATATGTATATACTGTGTTCTAGTCAAGGCCTATCCTATTTAACTATTGCTGTACATATACTATTCTTCAGATATATTATATATTCTATCCATATACAGTCCATATTGTCTATACATCCCATCACATATATATTGAACAAAAATATAAACACAACATGCAAGAATTTCAAAGGTTTTACTGAGTTACAGTTCATGCCAATTGCACGCTCCCTCAAAACTTGAGACATCTGTGGCATTGTGTTGTGTGACAAAACTTTACATTTTAGAGTGGCCTTTTATTGTCCCCAGCACAAGGTGCACCTGTGTAATGATCATGCTGTTTAATCAGCTTCTTGATATGCCACACCTGTCAGGTAGATGGATTATCTTTGCAAAGGAGAAATGCTCACTAACAGGGATGTAAACAAATCTGTGCACATAATTTGAGAGAAATACGCTTTTTGTGCATATGGAAAATTTCTGGGATCTTTTATTTCAGCTCATGAAACATGGGACCAACACTTTACATGTTGCGTTTATATTTTTCTTCAGTGTATATATAGTTATACTCCAGACTCCGACATTGCTTGTCCTAATATTTCTGTATTTCTTAATTCAATTTTTTTACTTTTTAGATTTGTCTGTATTGTTGTGTATTGTTAGATATTACTGCACTGTTGGAGCTAGGAACACAAGCATTTCGTTACAGCCGCAATAACATCTGCTAAATATGTGTATGCGACCAATAAAATGTGATTTGATTTGAATAGCAAAGTAATTTGCAGATTGATTATAGGTGCTACAATGCCACAGTAGTACTTACAGAAATGGTCTGTTTGATGTTTTACCATCACTGTAACATTTTGGAATGTTCATTCAAATCGTTCAACTGAAATTGTTACTAAGTTACATGTTCACCGCAAACAGAACCCTTGCTGAATTCACCTCTGGGGTTATAACCCTAAGAGGCCAACTCTCTGTCCAGTGTCCACTCCTGCCCACTCACTCAGTGACCAGACAAAAAACACCACTACACCACCACATGCAAATCTGGTTGAAGGGTGTTGTGAAGCTCTGGAAGTACCCAGGTCATGCAAACTCTGTGAACTACGCCTTCTTCAGTTCACAATATTTACACACATGAAAGCAACCATGAAAATCATTCTATTTGGTTTTGAAAAAGAACAGAGAGATAGTAAAACGGTGTGTGTATGACTAAGGATGTGTGTGTGTTGCTGTGTGTGTGTGTTCATGTGTATGTGTGTTGCTGTGTGTGTGTTCATGTGTGTGTGTATGTGTGTTGCTGTGTGTGTGTTCATGTGTGTGTGTATGTGTGTTGCTGTGTGTGCACCGTGGCCTGTGACAGCAGCAGGCTGTGGTGTGGTGGTGTGGACCTTGTTTACGGTCCTCCTCCCATATTTGGCTGTGGCACGGCCCCGGGCATGTCTCGAATAGCTGGGTGGCAACAGAGAAAGAGAGAGAACGAGAGAGAGAGAGAGAGAGAGAGAGAGGGAGCGAGAGACCGAGAGAGAGTGGGGGACACAGAGACGCAGTGAGTGAAACAGCCTGGCCAGGACTAAAGCCCTTTTTGTTAGCTAACTGTCACCGGAGTTGGAACAAGAGAACGAGGGAATCAGAGAGTGGAAGAGAGGGCCAAAATGAAGGGAAAGAGATAGACTGAGTGGTATTACTGCAGCTGGTGAGTACAGTAGTCAGGCCTGAGGGTTGACGTTAGCTTTTCTTACTGTGAGGGGTCAGTAGTTGATAGGGCTAATGAGATCATTGGTAGGTGTCATGTGTTGCTGTCTTTTTAATGAAGTTGTGTTCAATGCAATGTAATTGTTCTTTATTGTGTTGTGGTAGTGTAGTGGTTGGGAATACCTATATTGTACATCATGTTTTGTTTCTAGTTTTGGAAGTTTGAGTTGAATGTTTTCTTGGATTATAGTATAAATTGGTAGTAAATTCTTATTTTTTGCCTTTGGATGATTGAATGAGAGGGTCTGTCGCAGCATGATTTGTGACTGTTTCCTC